CAAAGGAGCTCCTTCCACTAAGCCCTCTAAGGAGTGATTTATATGAGTATTTACCTAAATGGAGTATTTTTTTCCATTTATTGGGGCAAATTTATGAAGACAGGAGAAGTAGCAAATTTGTGGGTTCTCTGTTGCCTATCACTTTTTGGTGCAGTACACAGGGATCTAGTTGGCAGGCCATTGGACACTAGAAGATAGGCACTGGGACTTTTCAGCTGCATGATTGGGGAAGCATCAGCCCATGTGCTGACAAAATCAAAGGCTAGAGTCCAAGCCTTGTGGCTGGTCATGTGGTTATATGACATGGAATGAACCTTGGCCTCCAGCCTTGTTCCATGACCTGAGCATTTATACTTGGAAAAGATACCCACCTTAGGTATGATTAGAGGGCTGAGGTCCCATGTCATTCACCCATTTAAAATACCTCAGTGGTCTTCCACTGCCAGTAGAATAACACCCAGACTCTACAACAGGGCATGTGTGGCCTTTCAGGATCTAAGGCCTAGCCACCTGTTCAAATGGATCCATACCTCTCCCTCATGTACTCTACTTGGGAACCACTGTGAGGCCAGGCTTCTCCATGCCCCTCAGCCTTTGCACATATATTCACTTTGTCTTCAATATCCCTACTCAAACATATCTATTCAGATTCTTACCTATCCTTTGGCACCTGCCTTGGCACATTGTCTTATGATGATGCTTATGATGATGAAATGGATCCCTTCAAAAGATATACTTCCTCCCTTTCTTTGGCCACTATGCTCCTCATGCATTCCTCTATCATTGTTTATATGAATCAACACAAGAAATCAGTTAAAACAGTACTTTGCAAATAGAATGCACTAGTAAATTTTAGGTGGTAGTATTTTTTTAATCACATAATTTTGCAATTATCAGTTTATGTCTGTATCTGTCTCCACTACTAGACTATAAACACCTTGAGAGAAGGGACTGTGTTTATCTTTGTACTCAGTGCTGTCTCTCCAGCTCTGTCTCCAGTTAGAATACAGGTAACTCTTATTTTTATGTCCCAGGAAGGATATTGAATTTTGAAGCTTAGAAGGAAAGAAATACTTGGGTTCAAATCTGAACTCTTCGACTTACTACCTGTGATTTTCAGTAAAATTCTTAACTTCTTAAATCCTTATATTCCTCATTTTTAAAATAGGGGAATAATAACAACATCATAAATTTTTTCTTAGGACTATGTGGGGTCCTATTTATTAAGTATCTGGCCCACAGTAGGAGTACATGGATATATGACTCTGACCTGGAGATAAAAATAAAAATCATCAGAATGCTAGAGATGGGAATGTGTTAACACAAGAAATTTATTAGAAGAGAAAGCTCCTCCAAACTTCAGAGTTTATATATTTTTAAAAATGAGTCATATAAACTTTTAAAACAACTTTGTTCTTTTACTGTGAAATACAAAAGAATGTAATTGTGTGCAGTTGGCAAAGATTCTTACCCTTAATGTGAAAACTTGAGGAAATCCAAACTGCAATCTAGAATTTTAAAATTCAATCCAGAAAAAGTATTCATTTCCCTTAGAAAGTGATTCAGTGAAGAAGTACTTGAGCTTAAGGGAAAAGAATTTAGGACATTTAAACTTAAAAGAATAATACCTCGCTTTGAACCTGACGTTGAAGGAATAAGGAAGATTTAAGTTTTTGGATGAGGCTGGTGCTCTCTTGTCTCTCTCCTCTCCATCCCTGCCTCCCATTCTCTTCTCTTTGCAGAGCAATAATTATCAAAAAGAATCAAATACCAAAGGCTTCAATTTACTGCAGAATCACTCCAGGTAAAGTCATATTATTCTTTTGTTGTCCATGTCTGTCTTTTTGATTGAAGAATAACAGGAGGAAATAGCTCTATGAAGGAATGAAGGAAGAATGGCTTCTGGTTCTTTAACCATCATTACTGGGGGGTGAACGGTCTCTGCAGTGCTGCATTCTACAGAGCATGAGGGTGCATTTAAAATCTTTTCATCTTCCTGTCAGATTTCCTATGTTTTTAGGCACAGCATTCAGCCTCACATATTATTCCTTTGTTATATGTTTGGTTGTTTTCTTTCTTAAGAATAATGACCCAGACTTTACATTATTCTACCAAATAAGAAGTCTAATTTTCTTTGCATTATTTTTATTGATACTCGCAAAAAAAATTGGTGAGTAAAGGAAGACGGATGTGATGGCTTGCACTTAAAAGGAAATGGAACTGACAATTCAAGAAGTCAAGTGATTTTGCCCAAGATTACATAATACATGACTCAGACTAGTAACTCTAAGCTCTGGACTTGGTCAGTGCTGATAGCAGGTGCTGAATGGCTGTGGGCAGGGCAGGAGTACCGGTCCATGAGTGATGTGGATTCTGAACTCCAGGCCTATCTTACCAAGTGTTATAGCTGTCCCACTGATGCACTCATGCATCATCTCTTGTTTCCATTGCTTTTCTGCTCATATGGAAGGAAAGAAGCTTACTTCTGGAAGGATGCAGAATCCACAAACTGTTCCCCCATGCTCCCCTCCCCCACAAACACCACAACTGCTACCAGTTGTTCTGATCCTAATTTGTATTCCATACTTAGCAAGTCTCAATTTCTGATATGCATGCAACGAAGGAGGGTGGGAAAAGGGAAACAGGATTTTGAAGCCTTATTGTCTAGTTGAAAAGTGGTGTTGCTCGTGTCCACACTACTACCTTCTGCCTTGAGATGAATGAATCTGTTTGGCTGAGTTTGAGTCAGTCTCCACATTAGTTCAACCAACTTTGGCCAAAAGTTGAGTCAGCTGATACAAATACAGTCATTTAGATGGACTCCTTCATCAATTCCTAGCAGACAATACCAGAGAAGGGAGGCTAAGGCTGAGAGAACCCAAATAGTGGCATTACTCAGGTAAAGGAGTGGGAGATGAGGCTTCTGGCATAGGATAGCAGGGTCTGTCTGGGTGTGCAGGGCATAGCAAATCTGCTTGGTATTGTTCAGAAAAGACATGTTTTCCTTAGCACCTGGGGGCTAAGAAAAGTTTCCCAGTCGAATATGTCTTTGTAGGAGTTGGGGTAGAAAAAGAAGAAAGGTAAACATAAGACATATTTGTCTGCTATACTAAATCCTTTAATATGGTTCTATACTTTGACCATAAACCTGTATACTAACACATATTTGGTGCCATGAGATCCTAAGTTACTCAAACATAGAGCAAACTTTGCTCATGGGATTCATTCATTCCTTTACTTCAGCTGGCACTATTGAAAACTTGGTATTTTTCAAGTCCTGGAAATACAAATATGTATGAGATATAGGCTTCAGGAACCTCAAAGACTGGTAGAGATAATAGGGATGTAAATAACTAAATGCAACACACTTGAATATATACAATATGCCATCAGGAAGCAACAGAAAAATGGATTCCATCTAGATGGTTAGCAAAGACTTTAGAGGGAAACTAAAAGAATCTTAGGAAGAAATTCAACTTGATTTATTCAACAACTATTTGACACTCTGGTAAGTCCTAATGAGTAAAATAATTTGATTCCTTTATAAAGGATTATTACATTAAATAGAGTGGCCATGGATGGACTCTGAGAAGAAGATATTTGTGCTGGTATCTAAAGGATAAGAGGGATAGGTCATGTGAAGGAAGGACAAAAAGACCATTTCAAGTAGATAGAACAGCACATATAAAAGTCTCACAGAAAGAGGGAGTTTGGAATGTAATTAAAATAGAAGACAGGCATAAAGCAGTAAGAGAAGAGGCTGGAGGGCAGTATCCAGATCATGCAGTGTCTGCTACACAGACAGAATAAGTTCAGGTTTTACCTTAATTGCCATGGGCAACCATTAAGATGGTTTTAAGCAGACCTAAGACCTGATCTGACTCAGTCATGGTTTGTTCCAGGAAACCATAGGTTAAAGTGTTGCTGGAACATAGCGTAAGTGCAAAAAGAGATGCAAAACTGTTAGAATGGGATACAAAGGCCAGAACACCTCAGCTGAGTATCCTCCCTTCTCATGATGATAATGGAGGGGACCCAGCAAACAATTTTTTTTAAAGAGGAGCTATCTGATGAGATTTCTATTTTTAGATTGTTCTTTTCTAAAGATGGATCAGAAAGGGTACAAGAGTGAGCAAGCCCCTAAAGACCTCAGATATGAAAGTACCAACAGCAACAGCATGGGTTTTCACAACACCGTGGCCTTCAGCAACATGGGAGAGATGCAGTTGGTAGTGTAGATAACCTTCTGAGGTATACTCTCAACTATTTCTCTTAATTTTAGGGATCATGAACTCAATAGAGAAAAATAGACTGGAATATTGGGAAACATAAACATGGGAGATTTTTTCTTTTTCCTCCAATTCTTGTCTATTGCTTTCTTACACTAACGCAGTATCTTAATGGTCTAAACTAATAATAGTGTTATGTGTCCAGTTTGTAACATACCTAGGATTCTGGGAATGGTGCAATTTCTTAAATATGGTGTATATAGGCTTCTCCTATGATCTACTTAAGTGTCCTATTACCCCTCTAGAAGTTTGGGAGTTTATTGGAGTAATTTAGGATGAGAACATCAGAACTTTGGAGGTGTCATTTCTAGTGTAAGAAATCCATTCAGCAGCTGCAGAAAAAAGAGTCGATGCAACAGGCAACCCAAGGCTAAAATGGAACAGAATTGGAGACACAGGTGGGATGTAGGAGATGTTTCATACATATTTGGGGAACTATTTTGACTTAAAAACTGAGAAAGTATTTGAGAAATTTTAATTTGTATTTATAAACTAAATGACCCTACAGTTAAGCACTTGCTTTATTACAAGGTTGGTGTTGAAGAGAGGATAATCTCTACCAATGTAACCTAAAAACACACTCATAAGTCAATTTCTGTTAAACTCTAAGGGCCTGTTTGTTCAAACTGATTTGACTAGCATTACTAGTAGTAGTAGTAGTAGTAGTAGTAGTAGTAGTAGTAGTAGTAGTAAAGGATATAATGGCATTACCTGTTATACCTTTGTAATATCACATGTTTGTCCCTGGCGGGGAACTCCCATGGTTCATGTGTTTTCCTTTTAGAAGTACGTACTGGCAATTCCACTTAGAACATGACTTGATTATTTCTAAAATAAATAGAAAAATATGTAAAATGGAAAGTAATAATAGTGTATATTTATATAAAATGAAGATTACATAAGTAATTGAATTAAAAATACTTTGAAAAATGATATATAAATAAGTATAAGAATATTACTTCCAAAACTTCTAGAGAATGCATATTTTTCAACATAATGAAGGAATAATTAAGATAGTGGTCATCCTACTGGAACTGAAATATGTCCAAATCAGTGTTTGACAGTCTAGATTTTTCTAATTTGGTTGCCTCATCATCACCTTACTGATGCTGGGACTTCAGCTATCATTCAAATATGGAACTTGGCTTTGCAATTTCTTGAGCATAACACAATGTTGTAATCAGACATATTCAAATTTTGTATTTCAAGAGTCATTGTCTTCTCATAGAATAAATGGAATTTGATACTGTCTTGAATATCTTGACAGATGGCCTCATCATTTCAGAGCAGATGGCAAGATGATTAGGCTAAACTGAAATCTTAAATACTAGACATATGAGCAGCTATACAGGAGCTAAAGACACTGAAAATACCTCTTTAGACAGCCTGAATTTTAGGGGGATATCTGTTTAAACCTCAAATATTCTTTTGCTCTGAGGGAACTTAGATTTTCCTTATAGCAAATACATTCTGTTGTTGAAAGAGTAGAGACTCATTGTCAGGTTGACTTGAGTTTGAATCTAGATTTGCTGTTTGCTAATGTGTGATGAGATAGTTCAACTCAGTTTCCACATCTGTGAAGGCTGGGTCAATTGTACTGGCCTCATGGAATGGTGGGCAGGGGAAAATTTACTGAGATAGCACATGTAAAATATCTCGCAGATATCCATTCCTCACAAACACCTTCCTTTATTGACCAGCAATAAAATTGTTCTGCATTTATAAATGAATAAAAAACAGTATATTTTTTTCACAAACATGATTTTATGGGGTTTTTAAAGATATTTTAATAAAAAGGACTCTAAGAAACAGAAAATAAGAAAAGGAAAAATACATATATAAATATACCAGCATGCAGGCATACATGTGGGAGGTACACAGTCATTTTATCTTTATTTAATACTAAATACAGATTTTAAAGCACTTTTGCAATCATTATTTCATTTAGTCCTCACAAGCATTGAGTAAAGCAGCAATATCTCCACCAAAATACATTTTTAAGGCTAGAACTCAGAAGTTAATTGAATTTCCCAGTGCAACAAAATACAAGTCAGACTTAAAACTGATATTTACAGATTCTTGGCCCAGATCCAAAGCAAAGTGTATCTGAAGTCCTGCCTAGTCACAGTCTCTGCTTTCCCCAATATTGATGCAGTGAACATTGTTGGTTATGTTCTCAGCATCTGCACCATCTTCCAACCATCAATATACCCAAATTTTGCTTTGGAGGAATCATTACCCATATATTCTCAACCACTTAATTTGAGTTCTATTGATTCCCACCCTCAGATCCATGAGTGGTTCATGATTTGCTAAAGCTAATTTGTGTTTTTAATCCTCCTGGTTGTGATGATAGAATTTGGAAAGAGGCACAGTAGTCGGTCAGGGTCAAAGAGATGCAAAGTGACTTTTGCTGTATAACCTGAGAAAGAAAAGATTTCTCTCTCTTCTTTGAAACTATTTCTCTGGGGATTGTGATGTAAAAGTGTCAGGAATAAAGCCAGCAGGCACTTTATGATAATCAGGGGGAACACTGGAGTGACCAGGGCACTGTAAAATCTGTGACAGAACCCAACCTTGCAGAGATCAGAAAGTCAGATCCTTGTTGCAGTGCCTGGCCCCCAGATCAGGCGATGACTGAATTACTACTAAACTTTCAGTTACATTAGCCTTTATTGAATGTCCTTTATTGTTCAAGACAATTTGAATTGGACTTTCTTTCCTTGCAACATTAAGGTCCTGTGTGAAATGCTGTGGCTAAAATTTTGGCAATAAAAATAGATACTACTTGGGGAAACATCTGAATTCCTTGGAAAATCTATCTCTGGAATGCCATTTAAGTCAATCTTGAAAAGAGTTTACTTTTGAAAATTTTACAAACAACTTTTTAATGAATGCACTTGACTATCATTCCATCAGCCTATAAGGGATTTAGCAAATACCTCTGAGCCAGGTGTACAGACAGGAAAAAATATAACCCTTGTGGCTGATCTTAAGGCACTCATAACTAATTAGGTAAGTAGGGCTAGCAAACATGACCCAGTGAAAAGTACTAGACTGCATATACCCATGTTACATGGTGTGGGATAAATTTGAGTTCATAGAAATTCTGAATATCAGTAACTTCTTAGCAGAGTTAGAAATGTTCTCATGGAATAGTTGAGACCTGGTGACTCTGATATTACAACTACAGTGTAATAAGGAAAGAAGTGTTGACAGAGCTGTAATTTTGAAAAAGAGAACTTGGGACGCCTCAGTGGCTCAGTCAGTTAAGCGTCTGACTCTTGATTTTAGCTCAGGTCATGATCTCACAGTTGTGGAATCCAGCCCCGCATCAGGCTCCACGCTGAGCATGGAGCCTGCTTAAGATTCTCTCCCTCCCTATCCCTCTGCCCCTCCTCTGCTTGCACATGAGTGCACGTGCACTCTCTATCTCAAAAAAATTTTTTTTAATAAAAAAAAAGAAGTAACATTTCAGATGTGTAGGATGTTCATAACCCTAATGTTTTACCATTGGCTATTTCAATAGCCATGTAATGTAGGAGAGGAAAGTTGGTCTGGGACACAAGAGACATGAAGTCTTGTTTTGGTTCTAATGTTTATTGCATTATTTTTAAAAACCTTATTTTGAAATAGAGATTCTCAGGAAATAGTGAGATTGTTCTAAGAGGTCTCATGCACCCTTCATCCAGGTTGCCCCAATGGTGTTTAGCTCTGAGTTATATTTTCATGTGTAGACTAGGTAACTAATGCTTCAAACAAGATGCAGAACTATTCCACCACTGCTAAGACTTCCCTCATGCTCCTTCTTTATAGCCACTCCCTCTTACCACTGGTAAACCATGACAATCATAATTTGTTCTCCAGCTCTAAAATGTTGTCATTTTAAGAATATTATATAAATGGAATCCATTTTATTTGTTTTGGTTTTGTTTGTTCATTTCTTTTTCCTGCCTTCTTTTGGGTTATTTGAATATCTTCTAGAATTCCATTTTGATTTATCTATTATGTTTTAGAGTATATCTCTTCACATAGCTTTTTTAGTGGTTTCTCTTAGGTATTATACATACATAACTTATCAGAGTCTGCTGCTGTTGACATTTCATCAGCTCAGTGAAGGATAGAAACCTCACCTCCCTTTATGTCCTTTCACCCCCCCCCCCCATTTATACTTTAAATGTCTTACATTTTCCTTTGCAAAAACCAATAACACTTGTGATGAGCACTAGGTGATGTATGGAATTGTTGAATCACTCTATTGTACACCTGAACCTAATATAACACTGTATGTTTACTATATAACTATAGTAGAATTAAAATAAAATATAATTTAAAAATTTAAATCAATAACTACATCAGTGTTATAAATTTCATATCAACTGTCAAGCCTAATTTAGAAAATAAAATACAAAATGATAAGTCTATTGTCATTACTCATAAAATTTAATTCCTTACAGTGTATTGTTTTTTTCTTTCCTGGTATTTCTGGAATCTTTTAGAATTTCTGTGTAGAGAACTTCCTTTTAGATGTATTCTTTTATGGTAGGACTTATGGTAACAGATTTCCCTAGTTTTCCTTCATCTGAAACTGTCCTGTGTTTATTTTTTTCTTTCATTTCTGAAGGATATTTTTGTTGGCTATAAGATTGTAAATTGACAGTTCTTTTTTTTTTCCAGCCCTGGGAAAATGTTGTGCCATTTCACTGATACTTCCCTCTGCCCCCTCCATTCTGCTGTTGAATCTGTCTACTGAGTTCTATTTTAGTTCATGTATTTTACAGTTCTAAAATTCCATTTGGTCATTCTTTAAACCTTCCATTTCTTTACTGAAATCTTTCCTTTTGCTCATTTGTTTCAAATATATACATAATTATTCACTGAAGAATTTTTATAATGACTGCTTTAAAATCCCTTTTAGATAATTCTAACATCTGTGTTACCTCATCCTTAGTGTCTATTAATATCTTTCTCTTTCAAGTTGAGATTCTCCTGGTTCTTTGTATGATACGTGAGTTTCTATTGAAACCTAGACATTTTAGATCCTATGAGGCTCTTGGTCTTATTTAAATCTTATTTTAGTGGGCCGCCTTTGACACTGTGTCAGCAGGGGAAGGAGAGGTCAACCATGTCATTACTGACTGACTGAGTAGAAGTCCAGGTGCCTCACTTGGTTTCAGTTAACACTGTCAAAAGGAAGAGATATCTTATTGTGGTGCCTGGGTGGCTCAGTTCATTAAGGGTCTGATTTTTCATTTCAGCTCAGGCCATGATCTCATGAGTTGTGAGTTTGAGCCCCACAATGGGCTCTGTGCTGATGGCACAGAGCCTGCCTTGGGATTCTTTCTCTCCCTCTCTCTCTCTGCCACTCCCCCACTCACTCTCTTCCTCTCTCAAAATAAACAAATAAGCATTTAAAAAAAAAGAAGATATGCCTTGTTACTGCTGCACATAGATGGTAGCTCATGCTCTCCACTAGAATTCTGCTGATACCACATGGCTGGGAGGAGGAGTGGTGCCATTTTGTTGCTCTCCACCTGGCTCCCACTAGACCTGCAGGGAGATGACCTCATTACTACTGGGTGGTAATAAATTCTTGACTCTCCACCAGGCCACCTCTGATAGAACCCCAGCAAGAGGGGTGGGGAATGCTTCATTGTTGTCAGGTGGGTATGGAAATCCAGCTCCCTATGTGATCTCCATTGACAGTCAGGTGGCCTGGGGAGGCCCACTGTCACCTAGCAGGATAAAAGTGCCAGCGACTGCCTCTGCTCACCTCTGCTCACCTTGCCACTGGGGCTGGGGCATATCATTACAGCTTGTCAAT